GCCTTAACACTAGGTACCTTTGGTCCCATATGGGCCCTTTTGTCAGCGTACGTAGGTTAGACTGACAAGAAAAAATTGAAAGTGTTCTTTCTCTGAGGTGTATGACTTTTTAGCTTCCAGCAATGTACGTAGTACCGCTGCTAAGACGTTTTTATTTAGTTTAATATTTTTTGTTTGCACATTTTATTTGCTATGTAAACTAATACTATCTTAATTAAACCCTTTACCTTTAATTTGGCAGCATTATGAAATATTGGAAAATTATTTATATAAATCTATATATGATCGCTTGAAAGTAAATTTTTTTTTTTTTACATATGTTTACATACTTTCCTAGATTTCAGTTTTTAGCAAACCAACAGTTCTCCTCAGTATTTTATTGACCAAAAAATTGTGTCCAGTTTTTAATGCCCAAAAAATATTTTCTGTTGACAAATTTAGGTCCAGGTTTTAATGTAGCAATTTTTTAAATAACTAAAAACTTATGTCCAGTTTTTATGGACAAAAATTTATGTTCAGTTTTTAAATAGCCAAAAAGTTATGTCCACTTTTTATGGACTAAAATTTATGTCGACCTCATACTTTCAAGCATTCATACATACATACATACGAAGCTTGCTGAATTGTAACTTTAAATTATTTAGTTTTTGATTACTTAGTTCTATATAGCACGAATTGTCAAAATTTGTACGAAACACCTACACCTGCTAAAATTGTGTTTGATTTTTTTCTTCCTTTTTTCCTTTTTTTCCAATTTCCTCTATGTTTTTTCTCTTCCACGTAACTGCGTTGAATGTGTTTGTGCAAAAAAAAAAAACAAAAAACAATGCAACTGTCAATCTTTGACTTCTTCTGTTTTATAACTTAATACCTTAACAAAACTAAAATAAATAATAAAAAATAAACAAATAAATAAAACCAAAAAAATTGCATAATAATCAAACATCCACATCATGTAAATAAAAAAAAAACGATTCGCTTGCACCTATCATCAACAACAACAACCCAACCTTCTACTACAATTTAACACTAAAAAAAAGGTGGTATCAATAAACCTAAACAGCCCAAGTCTGTCATAGGTTTATTCCGGCGTGAGAGTTGCGGTTCGAAGGGTGGCAGCAGTCTATTTGATCCCTTAGACGGTCTTGGTTCAGCACGTGGCTCTGATCCCACACTGGCGAATGCTTTGATTAGTGGTTTACCAATGCTGCCATTGATACAGCCGCCACATTCAAATCCCCGCCTTGAAAAGCGTTCGCAATCGATTTCAGTCGCCTCATCAGGCGGCATCAACAGTATCGGCGTAAATATTGGTGACATGGCTCATGCTGGTCCCTTCCCGGTTACGGCCAGCCATCGACGCAATGTACGCCGCGGCTCAATGTTGGAGTTAAGTGGGTAAGTACGCAGTAACTGGTTCTTTTTTAGATTTGCCACATTTGTCAACACTTTTAACACGCATTATAAAATTTGATTTTTGTTTCATGAAATATTATATTAAATATTATGTTAATCCTACTAATAACTAAATTTAATTTAATTTTATGTGTAGTACATACATCCATTTGCTCGTCTAATTCCCATGTATATACGTGTATGTTTGGTTTGTTGGGTACTTGTTAACGTTAGTAAAAAAATAAACTTTAGATAAATGTT